TATATGGTCTAGACTCTGGGCAAGGGGTGGTTGCGAGCTCGCGGGAGGAGCGCCCGGCGATTTTAATTGGAGTGTGTGTCTACATTTAAATGCGAAAACGCGCGCGTTATCAAGGACACTTGCGCGGAATCGCGCGCTCTTAATTGGAACGGCTCGCCTTGTGTTCTTGTATTATATTTGCCGTGTATTGTATAGTTGGTGTGTGATACAATTGTATTTTTATTTGTTATTTTTTTTATTTTTTTATTTTTTTTTTTTTTTCTTCCCAAGATAAAACAAAAGTACATGTATGAAAATGAGAGGGGAAAAATTATTTATCACCATTCTTTGGGAGCGCAATGGAGGTCCGGGGGGGGGGATGAATATTCTTGGGAGCGAGGGAAGAAAAGGAATTTTCGCAGCCAGCCGAGATTGCGATCTAGCTGTTGACGGCAATTAGAATTTCAAATTTCGCGTGATCTGTATACGGGTAGTATGGATGTGAGAATTTACGAAACTTTCAACGAGCCGTGTATACCTACTCAATCCGAGTGGATGAAATGTATACCAATGATTTTGCCGGCAAAAGTGTCATTTCCATTCCACCCCATTTTTTTTTTTCAATTTTTTTTCAATTTTTTTTTTAGTAATAATTGTGTCCATTCACCGATTAAAACAAAAATGATGGTTCTCTGATTTACAACTACACAATTTGTAGTTATTCAATAATTTACTTGTTGCAATTTACTTTGAAACTTGAATGTTTGCTGATTTACAGTGATATATATTATTTACGTTCATCCAACGCATTCGAATCAATATATCACCCAATTCTTTGAAAAAAAAAAAAAAATTCGCGACTTGAGCACGCACAATTTTTACCAAAGCATTTATCACTCGTCAACGATAAATCACGTTCGACTCCGACCAAACCGACGCGGTCCCGTTCGAGCGGTGCAAAAGCAGCTTTTGATCCCGAATACTCGAATTATACCGGCACACATACACGCACACGCGATTGGGCTGCAGGAGGAACCTTTGATGCGAATTAAAATACGCACGGTGGATCGAGCACAAAGGTTATTATGCATATGTCAGGCGCTGCGAGCGATTTTGATCAGTCAAGTGTAATTACGGGAGCGATTGCCGATACACTCCACCG